AGAATGAACCCATATCATACAATTCTATTCTTCATCATCTGCATCAAGATCAATCGTTTGCGCATCCACCTTGGCCCTTGACATTTTCGCTGCATTATTCGGCGCACTGATTGTATCCATATATGCCATATCATCTATCCCAGTGGTCAACTTTGGAACCACATCTGGCGAAAGTTCTTGCTCTTCTCCTTTCTCATCCGGCTCAGGATAGATAAACATATTTTCATGATAGCATTCCCAAGCAGATTGATGATCCTCGTCAACATATCGGTGCTTCACCCATTGCTCTTGTTGCGCCGCAGAGATTCGTACACCAATATTATCACTTCCATCTTCTTCTCCGTCGATACTTGACTTAACCGTCATATGAATAGCTCGAGCTTCCGTAGCCTTTGGTGCAGGTCCTTCGCGAGGTCGGTTTTGCTTTTCCTGTTCTACATGTGCGTCAATATGATGAAATTGAGGCCTCATTTGTACCATGTGATCAATTGGAGTGAGATGAAGTTTATCTGGATTGAATTAGCATGTTTCCCATAAATGAACAGATTTTTTTTTCCAATTACCACTCTGAAAAGCGCCTAAAAAGTATTGAGGACTATTTTGATCAACGGGAATGATTTGACCACCAAGAGTTTGCTTGACCAAAACTTGCTCCGTCCGAATAGCGCCTTCAAAATCCGCCATTACTTTCTCAGGGTCAACCTCTTGTGCCCGTCCTCTTCCCCTGCCAGTTGGTTGTGCTCCTCCAATTCCAAAACCACCCGGTAAACCATGACTTCCTCCACCCTTAACCATTTGGCTCTTCTTGATAGCATCTCCCCATTTCACACCCTTATCCTTATCATAATTCGTGCGCGCATTGATTGGAACATCCATTTCAACCATTCCGGCCTTTGGCTTCGTTCGAAACTTGAGAGGTTGAGCATCATTTGACCCAGCGTATCGTTGCTCAATATCGCGATTGGGAAATTGTAATACATAAATTTCTCGACCTTCGGAGATATGAGGTTTAATGAAAATATCATAAGAGCTGACTATTGGATCATCCTCTTCCTCCATATCGACATCCATATTATTTCCCGGCATGTTTGTCGTTCGTGAATTATATGGACAATCGTAATGCGCAACAGATCAAATCTTGAACTTTTTTAATCATCAAATGTCTGGACCTAAAGCGCGACAAGGATTGTCTAGCTGCAATATTTGAGTCCGACTTTCCGATCACCTTATCGATAAACCTATCAAGGCTGCATCATGTGCATTAACGCTAATTCCAAAGAAGTAAGGATGATTTCCTTGTGCCTCCTTTGACTCGCAAGGCAAGGCCCGATCTCCGATGACGAACCACCTGCACAACCAAGAATCTACTTCGCCCGCGAACAGAGACATTTGATTTCGCATAAATCCAAAACCGCTCCTTCGACCAACTACCATTCTGTGCAGGATAAAGGATCACTTTAAACCTACAAAACACACAAAATCATATACATACATCAAACAAATCGAAAATGTGCTCGTCCGATATCTTCCTCGGCTTGATCGCCATTCTATTTCCCCCTCTCGCAGGTAAGCATGAATACTCCCAACTCTGTACTCCTTCCCAAGAACCCAACAACCACACACAACAGCCCATTCCCCTCCCAACCACAACAGCACGCTCATCCACTAACCCCCATCCCTAGTCTGGGTAAAACGCGGCCTCTGCTCCGCCGACTCCCTGATCAACATTCTCCTCTGCATGCTGGGTTTCCTCCCGGGTCTCCTGCACGCCTGGTACATTATCGCCAAATTCCCCGACCAAGACGCTCACTACGACGCCATTCCCGACTCGGAAAATGCTCGTGTGACATATGTCGTCGTACAGGGCCCGAATGGACGAGCGCAGCGCGTGCCCCAGAAATCGAGTGGCACGCAGAGACAACAGCAAGGATATGGAACTAATGCTCCGATGGAAGCACCTACGGTTCAGCAACAGCAGAATGGGACGTGGACGAATGCCGGAGAGGGACAGGGACAGGGTGGAGAGGGAAGTAGTGGAGGGGCTGTGCCACCCACGTATGCGGAGGCTGTTAGGGGAGATCATAAGGTGCAGTCGAGGGATTAGAGGGAGGTAGATGAGCGGCGAGATGAGGAATGGGAATTGCGATATGAATTAAGAATGAAGAATGACTGAGGGATATCCAGGTTGGTTTGATTATGAGCAGACCAATGCGAACCGGCGTAAGTTGGGTAATGCGGGCAGGATATTTTTAGTTTGATCGCAGGAGTTTTTTACTATTGGATTTGCTTTCACATGCCTCAACACTCAGCACAAAAACATGTATTAGAACTTTTCTTCTCGGCAATATTGTATATTATTTGATTATCCCATCAAATTTACCGGGGCTTCGGGCCAGCTACCCCAAATCAATGGTCTATCCGTGACTCTCGTGTTAAGCGGTACCAGAATCTTCATTCTCTTTTTCTTCTCATCGGCTTCTGCTACATATACAAAGCCCATAACACTCGCATCTCGAATAATATCCTGAGAATCGCGAGTCGAGGCGTGCATGACAGCGAAAATGCAATGCAACATTGAGGGTGTTGGCTCTACTTTTTCATATAGTGTGGGTTCAGCTTCTTCTTCTCCTCCGGGCATAAATGCACTTTGCATTGAGTGTGCTTGCGAAGTGTTAGTGTTCTGAAGATACTATGAGGTGAGAGGGCAGAGAAGAATAATATGGCATACCTTCTTTGACTTTATAAATCGAAAGCTCGTCGAAATTAACAAGTTGTGTATGCGGACTCAAGGTTCGTTTTGCGTCTCCGAAAAAGTATTCCTTGATAGTTGCTTCCCGCATTTGTTGCATGAATGTATCATCTCTATCCACACAACCTCCTGACTTGTCTAACCTGACGAGAGTTATGGCTTCTCCGTTATCAGTTTTTTGGGTTGAGAATCGCCGTAACATTTCACTGTGTAAACGTTCCGAGCCCAAGACCAGGATAATATTAACTGGCAATCACATTAGTCCACACTCTCATTCAAACCCAAATCCCCAAACCGATAAACTCACCTGCAAACTCCGACACAATATGAGAAATCAAATCATACCCTCCCTTCCCCTGACTAATCACCCCCGGCGTATCAATAATCATGCCCGTTTCCCTACACACAGGGTCATCCTGCAGCCTACTCGTCGCCGCCAACGCCAGCCTCGTGACCACCGGCTTAAACAACTTCACATTATCTTCCGGACTCGGAAGCCCATAGTAATAACACAACGGCAGCTTTACCGGCACGGGACTCGGCCCGCTCGTCGAACTACTCCCCCACCCCTCCTCCACATCCACAATACTCTTGAACGCCGCGGCCGTCAAACTCCCCGGTATACTCAGCATTCCCTCACGCGAATCCGTGTTCACGACGATCGGTTGGCGCCCCATGCGGATCGCATACGCGGTGAGCAGTTTCGCCAAGCTGGTTTTTCCTGTATTATTAGGTCCGACGATGATTACACGTGGGCCATCCTGTCCTGCTTTCTTCGCTTCGGATCGTAGGTTCTCCAGCGCGAAATGCGTGTTGATGTAGGAGATCATGGGGGTTTCCTCGGCGGTGTATTCCTCGCATGGCCCGTTGACTTCGAGTCGACAGCCGTGCCAGGTGTAGATGGAGGATTTGGTGCCGTGGAATGTGTATGTGTGGTTGACTGCGAGTTCTGTGCCGAAGATTTCTGCGGTGCCGGAGAGGACCTGAGTGAGTGGTTAGATTGGGGGGTTTTCGTTAAGAATATATACTATAATGGAATTGAATTTCATAGAATCCATACCTTAACTTCAATACTCGCCCCGATGGCGACTTCAAAGCGCCATTCTGAGTTAGCCTGAAGCTCATGAATATTCGTATGCGCAACAGCTGCTGGTGCTGCAGTTCTCTACACCCAACGAGTTAATAAATTGAGTGTTTTGGAGTTTCATACATGAATTACTACTTACGGCAGCATGAACAGCTTGACCAAGCCCCGGTATCGACATGATTGTATCTAGGTATGGTTACGCTGGAAAGATGTGGAGCATGAGGTAAAGTTTTTAGCTAGGGAGCGGGAGTGTAGTGTCGAGCTCCCAGTTCAAAAGATATGGGGTTTCAAGGTTTCCGTGGCAGGGGTTTCTCAGCCTTACGGTGCGCTATGGTGGTTTTATTCACGCGACGCGTTTGTCATGTGAAATTTATTAGTTGGTTGGGCTTTTTACTAATCGATATCGATTTACATATTTGAAGCACAGTATTTCGAATAAATCTCGAGTAATTTTTGGATGGGTGGAAGAATGTTTTAGTGAATTTTGAATACATAGGTACTTTGTTAGGCACTCGACTCGATATTAATCAAAACGAATTAAATAGGCGCCTACAACTATCAAAGAAATATCATCTCAGCGACCTTTCAACATCCACATATTTGACATACATTTACAGCTTTGCTATGTAATACCTCTGAAATGCAAAGCCCAACAACTCCCAATCTACCCCCTTGTTTGATTAGTCGGTAGAATAAGCATACCGTAGCTCATTAGTACTTCACGACAGTACGTCAGAGACCGGGCTTAGCCGATGGGGACAACGCACTTTCAAAGCCACCATCACCTCACGTTATGAAGCTGAGATGCGCATTCTTCAGCATCAATCATACTAAGCATACACATTTGAATATAGATACGAGCAGGACGCGGACCATAAGTGTATATTATTAACCGTGTCTAAACCGGATAGATGAGAAGTGAAAGCAAAATGAACGCATATGCTTGCATATGCAGACTTCTAGAGGTCCAATCGCAGTGGGGTATCTTAATCTTTTAATAAACAGCCATGCTCATGTATAGTTGTGTGCCCTGTCCAAGCAACTCCATGAAGATACCTTGCATTTGACAAGCCCATGACTCCTACAACTCCCGCACACCAGCAGCTCTCCTAGAGCATAGTATACTCAATATGCCATTGGATATTATTATAATCCTCCTGTCCATTATGACTCCGCCAACTTCTCCAGAATTTTTCCCACGCTACGTACTCCCACAAGAGCATTTTCATCCGGGCCTAAGCCAGGAGTCCATGTAGCATGAGCAAAGTCTATGACCTTTAGAGAATAGATTTTGGGAAAAGATTCTTCTTCTAAATCTTCATCCTCCTCGTCGTCTTCAAAGGATGAGTGAGTTTCTCCGGATGATGATGAAGCATGTTCCATAGTGGTTGGAGGTGGGGTCCTGCTAGCTTCTTCCATTGCAGCGCGTAATGCTCTTCCATCGCCTTCAAAAACGAAGAGAAGACTAGCAGAGTACATTCTGCTCTCCTGACTTTCCAAGGCATCCTGTATTCTTCTCAAATCTGTGAGAAAGGCCTGGGATATTAATCTTCCTAGCTCGTTGTCGAGACCAGCTGATTTTGTGAAGATGAAATTCTTGAATGCTTCGTGAACATTGCTATTATCTAATTCGAACCTGCCGTAATCTTTATTATATATTCTATAGCCATCCTCGTCTATATCATCGCCTTTCGCATCGGGTCCCTGCCATACTCTCATACCCGCGATGCGAAAGCCAAGATCTTTGTGTGTGGTTTGTTGCGTAACTTTGTCAAACCTCTTTTTTTTCTCTTGATGAGCATCATCTGCCCATAATCGTACACCAAGCTTGACGTCGAGAATATTGGGCTTCACGAAACCGTGCGATGCGTTCATAAGCACCACGGCTTGATTGGTAGTAATTCTCTTGCCATTAGTCCTGCCAGGGTATGATACTTCAGGTTTGGCATGCTGCGCAATCAACTCGGTCGCCTTTTCTTCAAAAGATTTGTTCTGGTTCTCATCCAGTTGCAAAGTTCCAAGAAATTCGGGCATAAAATCGTAGAAGTCTTGGTGCCCTGCTATAGTGTCGTTATAGAATGCGATCTCGGTATCGGTGCAAGGCTTGATAAACAATTCGCCATCAATGTCGGAAAGAGTGCCATCACTACTTGAAGGTTAATGTTTAAATTTTACAAGGCCGCAGATGAACTTGACACTTACTGCCCTGCGACAGCGTAGTTGCAGTCGATCAAGTCGGCATGAATTGGAAGAGGTTTGGCCATTGTATTTATAATTTTTGGTCGTCGCAAAGTCTCAAGAGAATATCATTATTGAAAGGAATGTATTAGAATATATGTATCGAGTGAAGGAAGAACCAGGAATAGGGTTTTCCTTCTATTTGTCTTCTGGCGCTAGAGAAAGAAGAAAGCTTAATATATGAGTGGTAAGAGGAGGAGTAAGAGTAGGCTGAGTATTGTAAGGATGTGTGCGTGTGCGTGTGTGTGTGTGTGTGTGTGTGTGTGTGTGTGTGTGGTAAAGGGGCGTCTGGAGTGAGACGTTTGTCTGTCGCGGCTTCGATAATAATTAATTATTAAAAAGAGAGCACTTGAGGATCATGAGGAGTGTACCGGTGGTTATCGAGATTAATCAGATTTCCGATTTCACATTGGGCGCGCAAGATGAACCCAGACGAGCTAAGGGACAATTTTATATGCGGGAAGTAATTAAATACCTAGTATAGCTTGCCGAGAGATGGCAAACCGCTGAAACCTTTCCTCATCAAGGAAGTGTAGCGCCTCCCCTCATCAGGTGTAGAGGACTACGAGACTACCTAGGTGTTCCTTTGAGACCCAGTACAAGGACAGAATAGTACATGCACGATTCCTGCTGATTCCGCATATTTTATCCGACACTGCCACCTGCAATGTACCCTCATCAATGTCACCAAGTACCTTATTTATTACATCCTTCCAAGTTCCAACATAGCATGGAGGGAGGGAGGGAGGGAGGGAGGGATACATGAACGAGTAATAAGCTTCAATAACTCTAATGCGCAGATGTGCTGCCTTGCAGTAGTGTGAGAAAGGGGACGGTCAGACCAGAAGGAGAAGCAATGTTTGGGCACAGGAGTTTTGATCAAGCAAGTACACAAGGCATTCTTCATGGCGGACGGATGGCGACCGATATGGAGGCATCGATCAACTCATCCAACTCCAATAGGAAAATTGTAACAGGGAATGTTATGGAATGAAGCATTACCCGAGTACTCTATTATCCACCTAGTAGGTATTTTTTGGATGTTCTTTACCATCACTGTCCATCCATCCATACATCCATACATCCATACATCCATACATCCATACATCCATACATCCATACATCCATACATCCATACATCCATACATCCATCCCCTTCACAACAATCTGCAGTTCCCCGCAACCAGGATCCTGACTTTCAACGGTAAACCTTATGAAAAAGGTACTCGACGGTGCTGGTGATAGAAAGGCGGGTCTAATATTTGCTCGCTCGTTTGCAAATCAGAAGAACCAAAAGTTGAAATGTTAGCAAAATCCAATGAATAAAAATAGGTAGGTAAAGACGGAAAAGTGTATCAATATCAATAAGTGATATCGAGATTCAACGTGGGTTTAGTACCACCGTTTTTAAAAGATACTAGGCAGGTAATTATATTGAAGAACTTATTTTTGTTTCCATTTTCATTATTATTTTATTCTCGTTTATCTGGTGTGCGCCTTCCTTGCTTGACCTTACCGGCGACTTGACTCTTTTGATTGTAATTTCTTCACCATTTTGGATTTCTCAGTCACCACACCATCACATCATACACACATGAACAGTTGTTTTCATTCGAACCACATCAGCTGTTATATTCAACCACACACACACACACACACACACACACACACAGGTACACACACAGGTACACACACACACAATTCAACATCTAGTCAATGTGATTCACTCTTCGCTTCTACTACTGTGTCATTGTTTGACGATATCTCCAAGGAAGAAACTGCAAACGAAAAGTTTGAAACAACTACATCTATAAAATCAATTTATCTAGTTACCGTTATTACACCAAGTCTTAATTACAGATTCGACTGACCCTGGTTCACTCCGCAGTTGCCGCAGTCGTTGCAGTCGTTGGCCTTTTCGTTTTCTTTGCTATTTCTTCATAGCACTTGAATCAAATTATTTGAATTCACTTTGGGATTGTTTAACCCACAATATAAGATTCACCTTGACTTGATTTGACTTGACTCATCATATTGGGCTTCAATCACTTTCTCAAGAGGCTTTCGCAAAGAACTCGCAACTTCCCCACAACCACTACAAACCAACAACATCAAGTTAGTGTAACCCAACTCTTAGATTTTGCACAGCCTTCTCTATCTCTTCCTCTTGTAATAAAACCCAACCAACCAAAATTCGCCGTCGTAAGTACCGACAGTTCTTCTCCACCAAGTGGTTCTACGTTATTGGTTGCGATACTGATCCATCCTTTTGCGTTAGGTAGCTCAACATCATGGCGCCTCACTCTGTAGGTCCCGAACCTGAGGAGTTATCTCGTGCCATCAGCGGGCTCGACTTGACTGCATTACGGGGGGTTGATGGAGCTACTGATGAATCCGACATCAAAATGGGCAAGCGCTATACAAGAGATCAGCTGTTGAGTATCGGTTCAAAGGCGAGCTCTAGCGACGATGAGAGAATACACATCAACGTCCCAGAGATTGCGACCGGTATGAAAACACCACCAGCCCCTCCAAGAGTCCCACCTCCAACCCCAGTCCATTTATCAGTTACCCCCGCTTCTGGTACAAACACACCGGTTGTTAGACTCCCCGTCACTCCTGAAGAGTCCGGCAAGAATGGCGAAGGCGCAGTTGATGGAGGCGCGGATGGTGACGCAAAAGTTACTGAAGGTGGAGATGGTGAGCCCAAGAAGAAGAAGAAGAAGAAGAGCGGTGGAAAGAAAAAGACACCAAGCCCAACGGGATTTGAGGGTATGCAAGACCAGTTACACATGAAAAGTCCGAACATACCTCTAACGTGACACTGTAGAATTCTATGCCGACCCACCTCTCACTCCAGTTGAATATGAAGAGGAATGTGATATCTACCACGAGTAAGTACCCCATACCTTCTCAGTGAACTTTGCTAACAACCTTGCAGAGGCCGAGCATTCGCCGCGTATGCAATCATTTCCAAACTGTATTTCATACACTGACAAGATTTAAAGGCGTATTGAAACATGCATTCAGAGATACAGAGCACGGTAGTTAATCATACATACCTTGTCAACATGCAGAATTTGTTAGCTAATAATCTGACTACTGTTAGGCGCAAGTTTGATAGCACTCGTGCGAATATTCTTACAAAGTATTTTGCTTTGGGTGGAATCGAATCTGGCACCAAGTCTTTCAATGGCGGTCTTGATCAAGAAACATTAGACAATTCCACTGCAGCTGAGATTGCCGCTATTCAAGCTACAGATTTTGTTCGAGCTAGCAATGCCAAGTACTATGATCCCTCAGATACCGAAAATTGGGTTGTGGATTGGGAGGGAGTTGCCATGGGTTTTCTGTGAGTTGCTGTATTATGAACATATCTTGTCCAACACACTAACAGTTCCATAGATCTTACAGAGCACCCAGAATACTTGGTGATGGGGCAGAGGAAGTGGCTATGTTTTGCGGGGTGGTCAAAAACTTCCTAAACTATGTCTTGGCTCATGAGGTATGTAAAGAATACACTAAGGAAATCATGGCCGCTCGGCGATTATGTGACGTAGCCGAAAGGGAATTCGATGCAATCCGACGTCTCCGGCAAATGTTTCCTGGCGACTTCAACGTAGCCGCTTCAACACTGTTTGGTGAGAACTACAAGCGAAACTTTGAGATCAATTCCGCCTGGGCTAATCCCGAGGACGATTTGGATCAATGGAATTCTAACATACCAGTACTCAGTCTGCCTGTTTGTCAATTTGTCTTCGGTGGAATTGTTGCCTTCATTGGCGACAAAAGCCACTTTGACAAAGCTAAGGATGGTGATATTCACGTCGTAACAATTGAAACCAAATTCTTGGAGGTGGCTGATATCCATCGAGCTTCTGCAAACGTGGTTAAAGAGTTCTCGCATGTTAAAGATCCTCGAGGATTGGGTGCCCTAAAGCCAATCGGAAAGCTCCTGTGCAAATCCTGGGAAGGTCCTGGCTATGCCTACGAAGACAAGACGGACGACGGGATCGATGAGCTTGATGATTCCATCGAAGGATTCTGGATTGAGGACGAAATTTTGCAACAATGCTATCCGGGTCTCAAAATTGAAGTGGTTGTTCATGAGCTTAACATCGGTGTCAAATATTTTGATCAAGTCGTGGAATTCTTCCCTTCCTTCCATCTTTACCTTCCTAATGAGAAAATGATGGGCTGGAAAGAACCTGGTGAGTAGTTAAATCATTACATGTTCTGAAATATTGTGCTGATAATTGCTAGTCCCTAACGAGAGACCGCCACCAACCGAGGACGACCCCGATGCCGAGGAAAAAGTCATGGATGCTATCGCGAAGGATGCTGCCAATGAGGTAGAACGTATCTAACAATTTGAGATTGATATTATCGCGTTGACGATTATACCACATGATGATGCTTTTTTTTGAGCTTCATTTAGTTTCATAGTCCATATTCTGGGAAAATCTAATTCAATTCTCTTGCGGCTGGCATGGTCTGTTATATTTCAAATGGTCTTCATATCGAAATCGATAGGGCGAATGGTCGTTTGCATGGATACACAATTTTATGAGGCATGATCGGAAATATGATTGCATCGCTGGGTTTCACAGAATGGAGGAGTAATTTGGGGGAAGACTCAAGGGAGAAAACAAGAAGATATCTGGAGTCAATGATGGAAAAATGATGCACATTAGGATGGGAAATAAATGGTTCAGCGATCTGGCAAAGTCACTTATGGCTTTGAAAATAAATCACTGAATAATATAAAAGTGGACTTTAAATTTAACGGTATCACCTTTGCAAGTTGTGTGCAATGAATTGAGGTGGTCTATGAGTCGAATGTGGCCAAAAAAAATTAATGGATTGTAATATAACACAGCGGGGGCTAGATCTCACAAATTGTACCGTTTAGAAAAGCCATCAAACCATTCTGTCTCGGCGAAAGCTTTCTAACGGAGTGAGATTTGATACGTGTACGTGTGTATAATACAATCTTGCCGCAGACCTACATGCTCTATGCAATATTTCGAATGATGTATATGTAAAATAGATGGATAGATGAATGGATGGATCTACTATTACTGCTACTGTATCTATAGATGATTTTCAGTTTTTGGTGTTGTTAGTGTTGTAAATAGGTAGGTTGGTTGGAATTTGGTGGGTATATTGGTGAGTAGATAGCTAGGCAGATAGATATCTGTTGAGATAGTTTTGATATATTCTTAGATCTTGAGGTTATTAGTTATAGTATTATATTACTTTTTATATGGAAAGATAGGAAGATATCACAGAAGAGAGGAAAGGAGGAATTAGAATTTATAATGTAATTTATTGTGGATAGAAATATGGTATACAGTGATTTTATTCGATGCGATTCGATTCGATCTGATATGACTAGCAGGGAGAGAGCGGAATGATATTTGGAGAATAAAGACCTATATAGGCCGTTTCTATTGAAGTGGTCAGAAATCGCATATTTACAAGCAAGTTAAGTGCATTGGTTTATTTACTTCCTCACATAAAATGGAAGGAAAATGTGGTATTTGAAAAACGAAGCAGATTACAGCACGGTAAGAATAGAGATAGAGATAGAGATAGAGATATAAATGAGTGTGTAATATTGCTATGCATATGCTGCATATATAAGATATGTGTATAGAGAGAGTAAGGTCCATTGAATATCCAAGTACCACAAAAAAGCTCGCTAAATCCTCCTCCCTATTTAATGGGTTTCCCCTGGCATTCTAGGTTCACCCTATTGTTTTTCCATCTCCTTTCAAGTTTGTAGGAAGAAAACAATTATGTGCAAATATATGTGAAATGAGCGTGAAGAAATAGAATTGTCGGCATGATCGCACCAGGACTCCACTTAACCGAGGTCGTGTTGTCCTATACCGTTTCCTTGCCTCAGATGGAAGATGTTTACTAGGCAGTTGTGTAAACTTCCAGAAAGTTAATATGCGACGGAAGACCATCTACATCATAAACCATTGCGTACCATCAGTATTTCTTGGTAATTGACCATCCGAGCTTTGCAACCTTTGCGGCAACGAGGAAGGTCCCAGCCAGTGCATAGGAGAGTCCAGCAAAAACAATCAACCATGTATAACCACCCCCACTAGCCGTCAGGATCTGTCCAGCAATAGGCAATCCAGTCAAGGTGCCAAATGAAACTATCATCCAACATGTAGAATAGTAAGTACCGAATTTTTCAACCCCACACAGCTGACCAACGCATACTGGACTCAGACTGAGATTGCTACCGCTCACAAGTCCAAATAGTACAGCGAAAACAAGGGCTATCGCTTGGGAATCACCAGCTGGTAGCCACAGTGCTAGACATGTTACTACGCAAAAAGCGACAGAGATAATGAGTGTATTCACATAACCAAGGCGATCGGCCACATAGCCTGCTCCCAATCGGCCGACGAATGAACCGGCATTGAGAATGGAGACTATGTAAAAACCGAATGACGTTGATTGGCCATTTGCGACGACATAGGGTGTGATGTATGTTAGAGGGACAAAAATTCCCCATTCGAGGAGGAAGATCGCTATGGTAAGAAAGACGAAAGACGGCTCCTTGAACGCAGGCCAATACGGAAGAATGCTCTTCATGCTAGGAAGTGGCTTTTTGGGAAGACGGCTAGTAACGAGGAGGTTTGTTAATATGAGGAGCACAAGAAGGATGAATCCCAATATCCGCGTTGCCCAAGCAAAACCGATCGTAGGAAAGAGGCGTTGCAGCATCAGAGGGATTACAACTCCGCCAACACTTCCGGCCGTCATTGCAATGCCGGTAGCAAAAGCTCTCTTTGCTTGAAAGTATTGAGCGATTGAAGAAATACATGGAGTATTCACCATGGCTCCACCAATGCCATTGAGAACACTATACACTATGAAAATCTGCCAATATTCTGGAACAATTAGTAAGGTAGAGTAGACATATGATATTGCAGAGATCAGAGTAACTCACCACCGCATAATCCAAGCAACATCATAGACAATATCAACAAGATACTTCCACAGAATATCAAGACTCTGGGGCCATATGCATCGAAGATTGGACCAACTGGTGTACCACCCAAGAAGGTCAAAAAGAGTGATACTCCAAAGATCCATCCAACATCACCAGTTGCGTAGCCTTGTAATTGATGAGTGGAGAAGTAGTCGAGCAAGATACCACTGCAATTGAGGATTCCAAAGACTGCAAATGAGCCACAGAATGATCCCACAACCACAGACCAAGCCTTCAAACCGCCGTCAGGAAAGTTATCCTTTTCATCATCTGAAATTGACGTTCCATCAGATGGTTGTTCGGAACCATTCTGAATAACGCCCGTTTCAAGGTTCTCGTTGAAAGTGATGGGGTTTTTTGCGTCGTTGTTGTCTAAACCCTCCGATTTAGGTAAAACCGAGTTTACCCCAGATTTTTCGAAATTTTTATTTTGAGAACGATCGTTTACACTAGGTGTAAAGACGTCTGGGTTTTTTAAGCAGCTGTCCTCTGCATCGTTTTTCTCTCCCGGTGTCATATGCCACACCTTGTGGTGGAATCTTATAACAGTAAGGATACCAGAAGCGACTTGATTGATATAAAGATGTATGTAATTGACAACTCAAGAAGAGCGGTGCACTGTGGAAAAAGGTGTGAGAAAGTGGAGAAATATTTAGACTTTTCAAGCTTTCCTATTCGAGGATCGGTCAGTTCCGATGCCAAGGGGATAGTTTGTTAGCCTCCGACATAGGTAAACATACCACGTGATGCGGAATGAATATTGAGAAGATCAATGTGTTAGGAAATACATAACAAGACATGATGTTCGCTTTGAGTGGGACTCGAGGAAGGAAAAAGAGGCTGGAAGTAGGAAGTATTGAAAAGTAAAAACATACTTGTGATGATCAGATGGAAAAGCAAATGTAGGAGTTCACAACTAAGACACTCTTTGACAATTTCATCATACTTATTATTCTAAAGTGCATTACCTGGTATAGCTCACTTGTTTATATCTTGATCAGTGATTGAGATCGTTGCTCGTTTTCTTAGTTAGTGAGATGGACTTCGTTTGTAGCCGACCTTTATATAAGTTCAATTCATAGCATTGACAATTCAACTCCCTTCCTACACCATCAAGAACGGATTTTCACTCCATGAGTAGATGCCAAACAAGAGCCCGACCGGTAGTTGGGGCATTGGAGAGAGATTTAGCACGTGATAGATAGTCAACGTGATGACGCTGAATGTCACTCGGATGCAGAGTATAGAGTGAGTGAGCTGTAGTTCTATTGAAGAATTACAGATCCATCAATCTTATACTGTTGCGTTGTGTGGCGAAGACATATGTAGAGTCAAAAGTTGCTTACTCCCCTCGTAGCAGGAGTTCTGTATCATGAGCATCACCAACACCAAAAGGATGAGATGCCCGTCCATAACCGCCACGATGTGCTTATGGTATACATTACTTAGATTGTCACATCGTCTTCCGGTATCAAATGCGTTTGCTCACTGACGTGATAAGATGTTGACGGAATGACGGGGACTTGGGTGTTATATATAGTCCAACGGAAACATCCGTAACTGTCGGGGTTAACGGCGGGGTAAAGGAACGCAAGGTAAAGCAATGATCATGACAACAGTACATCAGTTATATTTCGGCCGAAATATATCGATGATATTGGTGAACGTCCAACTTTCGTTAACACACGGTCTAATAACTGCCGTCAATTCACGCAGATAACTTAACTCCGGCTCAAATTATGGGGCTTCTTTGTATGCCATGGCCGGTGTTAAGGATTAAAGTTCCTTCAGTGAGTATGAATGCGGAGAATGATTAGGAATCCTTCCTCTCAAGAATGAGATCATATAGCATTGTAGCTAGATATAAAATGTTGTCATTCACCCTCTCAGTCGATTCCAAAATATTTGCGATTAACACCTACATATATCCTTCCCTTCATTCGAACCGCCTCTTCTCGTATAAACTTATTTTACTAAACACACAAAATGGCTTTCGCTGCACCCCCACCCCCAAAGACCGCTCTTGGTCACTATAGAATGCTTTCCCCCACAGCATCAGTTAGAGTGAGCCCTCTATGCTTGGGAGCAATGAACTTCGGAAATGCCTGTAAGTATACCTAGGTCCTTCATAAAGGCTCAATTCGATAGTCACTAACACTATAAAGGGGAGAGTTTCATGGGAGCTTGCGATCAAAAACAAACCGAGGAGATATTGGACTTCTTCTATGAATCTGGTGGAAATTTCATTGATACCGCCAATAATTATCAAGCCGAAGAATCAGAGAAATGGATTGGTGAATGGGCTGAAAAGCGTGGGATTCGAGACCAACTTGTTATCGCCACAAAGTTCACAACTTGTTTCCGAGCTGGACATGGCGACAAAGAAATTTTGATCAATACTACCGGAAACGGAACAAAATCTCTCCATTTATCTCTCGAAGCAAGTTTAAAGAAGCTGAGAACATCTTACATCGACCTTTTGTATGTTCATTGGTGGGACTTCACTTGCTCGATTCCAGAACTCATGCAATCCTTGAACGCATTGGTCTTGTCCGGAAAAGTTCTGTACCTTGGAATTTCGGATACACCGGCTTGGATTGTATCGAAATGTAACCAATATGCTCGTGATCATGGATTCCGTCAATTCTCAGTGTATCAAGGACGCTGGTCTGCCGAGAACCGTGATTTCGAGCGTGACATTATCGATATGGCTGCCGATGAGGGGATGGGGCTGGCTCCTTGGGGTGCATTGGGAGGTGGCCACTTCAAAAGCGACGAGCAACGCAAATCTGATGAAGGACGAAAGTTGTGGGAACCAACCGAGGCTGCTATCAAGATATCTAAGGTTCTCGAGAAGATTGCAAACGAGAAGAAGACCATAATCACTAGTGTAGCATTGGCGTATGTGTTGAAGAAGGCGAAATACGTATTCCCAATCGTTGGTGGAAGGAAGATTGAGCATCTGAAGGGAAATATTGAAGCTTTATCGTTGGAGTTGAGTGATGATGATGTCAAACAAATTGAGGAGTCAAACGCGTTTGATATCGGATTCCCTCATAACTTCTTAGGAGGTCCAAACGGGGTGAAGACTCCAGGTGATGTATGGCTGATGAAATCAGCTGGTATAACTGATCATATTCAACCATCCAAGCCTCTTTCACCACATAAGCAATAAATGGCCGAGAGTAGAGTAGGTAGATGGACTTCGGATAAAGACACGGATATAAAGAGATCAATAAGTAGAAACAATCAGAATTTCGTATATAGAAAAGACCAACATATTATCTGCTCTAGGTCAACGGATTGAACAATACTACCTAGTCAATGAACATACTTTACTTTTAGCGATTCGTGGACTTCATCAAAGCTTCGAGCAGTTGAATCATTGGTGTACTACGTGTACTCAGTTTCTTCTTGTCTTGAAGGTGGACGACAATATGACGGAAGGTTGATGCAAGTCCAAAGCAAAATCATTCATGTTGGATTGAGCTGGGGATCAAGTTCCAACATCTGAAATTTAGAAAATGATTTGACATGAATGACATGGATCAGATTTCCTGATATCCGTGGACGCGACGCTCTCAAAAGTGTGCCACAACTAGACAGAGCCACGTGACAGGGTCTCTCACGCCGTACCTGAAAAAGCAGCCCCTGCTAGCTACATACGGTAAGTGGGGAACATTGCTGTACCTTTCTACTAGCTTAAGATCAAGATCCCGAAAATATGTTACCCCGGACTTTCTCACCATAATTTCCAAGGTTCCCAAGGCTGAAAAAATTATTTATTTGTTAAAGCATTGTCGACATGATCAACATCGAAATCTTTCAAATTACCTAGGTAATTGATATTTTCAATAACAAAGAATTGTTTCAAAAAATTCATTCTCTCAAAAGAATAAATACACAGAATTTTTTAATTCGAGTTTCTGCAGCTTCAATGCCGATCAGGAGCATTTCACAACAATCAAAGATCCTCAGCCTTGAGTTGAAATAGGAGACTCAATTCAATACAAACGCGGCTCGATCTAACAACAAAACCTGCAACAAAGAATATTACAACAAAATCCAATCTTACTCTAATCTATTCGATCTCAAAATGGATCAAATTTTCAAAATCAAAGATGCTGTCGTTAATTACCTTTCTCCCGTCGCGAAGCGTCGTAGAACAATGGGGGAACCTCAAACACCAGGTTACATCGAATTCGACGACGAACACCAGTTTCTTTCCGAACCACAAAATAACAGGAGGTCTCTTGATTTCGCATATGGTCGCACGGATCAAAATTATACTCCGAAAGAAGATAGAACGACGCCCACAAGAAATCCCCTTAAACGTTCTCGCGAAGACGATGAAGTTGAAGGACCTATATTTTCAGGAGATGATATCTCGCCAAAGCAAGCTTCTTCGCACAACGTCACTGAGAGTGATGAAGAATCGGAGACTCCAGATTATATGGATGAAGACGAAGATGAAGAAGAGGAAGAGGATCTAATTTCTGCCCAGCAAAAAGTAGATGAATATCTTGCAAAGCAGGCTGCGGAATTTGCTATGGCAAAAGAGACGGTAGAAAGAGCTCGAGCAGATGGCGAATGGTCTCCCGAAGAACTCTTTTTATTGGAAAGACTTCAATACATGGGCCATGAAGGACTTTTGCCGCACTGGGCAAAGGAGCGGAATTTTCGGACGGTTCCTGAGGCTATGTTTTGCCCTGATGACAATGCCCTTTTGGGTGAGAGTAGTAAATGTAAGTTATACAAAGATTTTAAAATACCCCAGACTAATTGTTCCACAGCTATCCAAATGTTAGAATTCCTCGTCCATTATCTACCTCGTCGCGTACATGATAGATACTATGGTGGATCGGGCCCGCCTGAAGCGCAGATGCGACAATGGATTGGCAAATACGTAGAATGGACTGAAAGGGATGGCGGTTACTATAAGAAAAAGTTTATTCCAGTTCTGTGCCTTGTTGAAGGTCGATGGCGCGCGCCCGCTGCAGAAACAACTAAACGCCTCAAAGATCAAATGAATTTTCATGCTGAATCATGGCGTCGAACACTACTACGTCCTTCACCCATTGTCAATGAGTTTGGCGAGACAGAAATATACTTTCGACGTCCGCCTCTTATTTATGGAATTCTTTACATACAAGCCAAAGCTCTTTTCGTCACACTGGACTCTTCGGATCCACAAGCAAAGATTAGAGATATTCACGTTTGTGATTTCTTAGATACAAGCAAGCATTTTTGGCATGCTATATCCGTTGCCATAGTGGCCAAAATTGCGCAAAGATATATGATGTCGATCGTTGATACGTTGGAGGATGACGACCCGCCGGAACCAGATTCGTGTAGCGAAAATGAATTAGAATCTGCACGTGCGAGGGAAAAGAGATTGCAGAAAGAAGCAAAGATGTTGGAGCGAGAAAAAGAGCGTCAACGCCAGGAAGACCTTTCGAGACTTGAGCAACAAATGAATCAAATTAAGATGGAAGAAGAGGAAGACAATGTTTTGGAGTCCATCGAGGAGTATGAGAGAGTGGAGATTATTGAGGGTGAAGAAGAAGAACAGGAAGACTTTGAGGACGATCGACCATCAATGTCGGAATATGACGAGGAAGAAGAGGAAGAAATGGAGGTTGAGGTTGATGAGGACGAAAACGAAAATGAAAGTGGTGAGCAAAGTGCGGATGAAGAATTAATTAGTGATGAAGATATTGAGGATGCTGAAGAGGACGTCGAAGATGAAGATGAGCCAGACGACAGCAATGTTAGCAACGAAAGCGATAACGAAAAGGTTGAAGTCGGAAATCTCTACGGAACGGGACGTAGCCCTAGATCAGCAAGCTCAGATGAATTGTAGCAACGCTATCGCTCTACTGTTGTTTGGAAAGTACGTACATATTGATTTTTTGTATGATTATTCTGTTGGATGTAAGATTGCTACTTTCAATTTTTCTTTCCTTCAAAGGTTCTTCGCCCGCATCTACATGCAGCAGTCACGCCACTGTAGAGTCGATCCAACCAAAACGTATTGAGAATGCGCTCGGGCAAACTGGCTTCGAAGAGATCATTGTGAGGCATCTAACAAATTCTCTCTGATATTGGTACATTATGGAATACCTGGAAAGGATAATACTAGGCAAGGGACTGGGTCGAGGGAGAAACCATTATGGATTATAATTTTTTTGATTTTCCTTCCAGCTGTTTTCCTGTCATGAAATACCCCCTTTCACTTTAGCGCAATAATGATGATAAGCAGAAATAATTAAAACTACATAAGTTTTCTGAACATGTATGCAATGTTCCACGCAAGATTGACTGAGTTTAGAATCGCCTTTGATGAGTTCTTGAGGCATCATGGCCTATCCGGACATTGATTCATTTTTGCATCTGACACGCATCAAAATCCAAAGAAGCATGTGGTCCGTTTATGTAAGTCTTTCATCATGAAAAAAATGGCAACCTATCGAGTGCAAGTATATTCGCCGCTCATTTAAACCTCCCATAAATCCGCCACTTCCGCTATGCAATAATTTTTGTATCCGCAATCTCAATGCCACATCCTCCTTTTTCTTCAATCCCGAGAACTTAATATCCGCCATGAAAGTGTCCCTCATGCTCGCTCATATCTCAATTGCTTAGAATCTCCCCTCCTCTCCCCAGTCAATCTAATGATCCTCCAGCGCTCGTGCTTCCAGCGCCGCAACCCCCTGTTCCAACTCCCTCACCCTCGATCCCACACGTCGTTTGATTTCCTCTCCATACTCCCCCTCAATCGCAGAGGTATACATATCTTTTAATTTCTGCAATTCCTCTACTGCGGCTGCGCGGTCGGCTTCGGCATATACGGAATGTTTGTCGGTTTCTTCGCTTGCGATCTATTCATTCGCCAGAAAAGAAAGAATCAGTTATGGAATTCTTGAACGAGAGCAGCTGGGAGTGGAGTGGATGGTTTGAGACATACCTCGAATTCGTCCCGCGCAACTCCATACTGTTCGGTCAAATCTTCGATTATTGCATCTGCCGGTGTCGCAGTTGCATAGCCTCTTCTCCCGGAGTTCAGGCTATGCGGTGGAGAAGGGATGCATAATGATGTACGCTGTGGACATTGTGCAGCAGTTGATTTTCTGGACGGAATTCGTGTAGAGAACCCCGCTAAGAGCGTTCGTTGCGTATGCTTACCGAAAGGAGTGCGTAGCGGAGAAACATGAGGGGTTTTGCGGACGAGAGTGCGTGGTAGGCACTTTGAGATGAGGAATGACATTTTGGTGGTGGTGGTTGGAGCGATAAATGAGGGGTGAGGGTTAGGTAGGTGTTTTCACTGTTCATGCAGTATTGGGAATTTGGAAGATCGAGGTTCGAAAGCTTAAATTTGGTTAGGGAGCTCGGACCTGATGACGTTGAGTTTAGCATGCCGAGTATGCTTGTGTATGTTTGTACACACCCCGGTACGCGATACAGGCATTCTTCTCATGTGCTTTCAATACATAGTACCTAAGTTAATGTGAAAGAGGTGTTTATGTTGTAATATAATGTTGAGGTAGAACTATATGATATGTAGAATCGTATTCAATATTCTGATGTCTATTACATGCTTTTTATCATATAGATTTCAATCTGGCAATTACATGCTTTCAATTTCTCAATCCCAGCTGAGCAATTAGACACTTCAATCTGTCAACGGGAGTTGAACAGTCAAATACTTTTATTCTCATAGAGATTTGATATTCAAATGCCTTTCTTGACAAGAATCTGTTGATGTGTGATTTTTTTTGTTCATCTGGAGCCCTGTAATATGAGCTCCCCTGGCAAGTGTAGGTCTTTCGCTAATTAGCGAGCTAGTTTTAGTTTTTGGTGATCTAATGATGATCTTGTTGATCAAAGAGTCTACCCCTTAGTAGCCGAGTATTTCTTGTCTCTGGCGATGACGGATTCGAGAATGGGAAATGGGAATGTGTGATGCGGGATTCAATACACTATGGGAAGGGGATGACTTTTCTCTAATTTGCTTTTGGCTCTTTGAAATGTATCTATTGTCTTTGGGTTAATTCTGGAAATGATTGTTCAAATATCTTATATGCGAATCAAGATAGTCACTCAGATCAAGAGTCGACCATCGGCACACAAGCAAAGAGAAATATATATAGTTAAGGAGAGTATTGTTGTCTATATTTTCTAAATGTCTATATAAGAATCATGAGGCCACCTCAAGAGAGACGGCTCATAAATTTGAAAAGAGTGGTGTCAATAGGCGAGAAGAAAAAAGGCCAATTAACATATAGAATATTCAAAGCGACTGCTGCACACTCTGGTACAAGAATTGGAAATACAAGGATCGGGCTTTTGTCTACCACAAGTCTAATTCCAGAAACAGAAGATCGAAAAAGGATCAGCTTCGCTAACCACGTCCAAGTTGCCTCCCCTCGCACTCTCTGGATAGAATAGAATAGAAAATAAATACAAAGGAAATGATTTTTGGGAGTTGAATGTTTTATTTGTCGAGTTATGATGGTGTTTTTCTTCGTGAAGGATGGAATATGCGAGCGTAATTAAGATTGGAATTCATCAGTCATTATTCGTACATCTGTGAGAAAAGAAATCCAATTAGTAATTATTCTGGAATATCAAAATCATAAACTAATAAGATGATTGAACATACCTCTTCATAAAACATCAATCTTGCAGTTACAATAAAGATCTGAACTTAACACTGTTAAGTCTTCTCTTCGACTTTTGCTTGTGCTCAGGAACATTGATGAGGTCTCCTGGTTTGATCTGTTCAAAGTTCTGGACATGTGGATTGGCATGCTCAAGATCTTTCAGGGAAACTCCAAATTTATGCGCCAAATCAAAGAAGGTATCTTTTGGTTTCACAGTGTAAGTTTTGTGGTTATCTCCACCGGTACTGGGGATTTTCACAGTCTCGCCAGGCCAGAGTGAGTTGACCATGATGATGTTTGGGTTGGCGGTTTTCAAAGCATCGAGAGTAACTCCGTTGTTATTGGCGATATTGAAGAGCGTATCTCCTGCTTTAACAACGTGCATATGTTCTTTACCGTGGGCAGCATTACTTGGTGGGATGCTGATGGTTTGACCTGGAGCAATGGAATTGTAGTCGTGGATACCTGGATTGGCAGCTTCCAAGGCTTGAAGTGAAACTTTGTTTGCGGCCGCCACAGAACTGAGGGTATCTCCTGGTTTCACGATAACGGTAGTGCCATTGGAGGGGAGTTTGATCACTTCTCCGGGATGAATCAATTCAAAGTTAGAAATTTGTGGGTTTGCGGCTTTGAGCTCAGCCAATGGAACCCCTAGTTCTTTGGAAATGCTGTCGAGACTATCTCCTTTTCTAACAGTATATGTACTTGGTGAGGATGGGGTCTGAGCTTTAAGGTTGATAACCTGTCCAGGTTGTAGTGAATCTGGGTTTGTGATTTGTGGATTCAACGCCTCGAGAGTATGCAATGGGATTCCATTATCTTTAGCAATACTGAAAAGAACATCACCTGGCTTTACAGTGTATGTAGATGGTAATGTGGAGGTGGTTTTGGAACTGGCGGGGGAGCTATGGTGTTCAGGAATTGAGGGCATGGTACATGAATCTCCATGGATGTGAGGGATGCATGGGCCATACTGAGTAGGTGGGCTTTCATGAGTAGATGAAACGGGTGGGACTTCATGGATGGGAGAAGTTGGAGGCTTCGATAGAGTTGACGGAGTGGGAGGAAGATCATGTGTGGACTCGCCACATGAGCCTCCATGAATGTGAGGAATGCATGAGCCTTGATTGGTGGATGGACTTCCATGTGTAGGAACAGGTGGGACTTCATGAACAGAAGAGATTGAAGGTTTGGGTAAAGTTGACGGAGTAGAAGAAGGTTCATGGATGGACATAGTGCACGAACCCCCATGAATATGTGAGATGCATGGAATTTCATGGGTAGATGGAGCAGGCGGGGCTTCATGGATAGAGGCGGTGGAAGGCTTCGATAAAGTCGAGGGAGCAGAATAACTACTATGAATGGATTGAGTGCATAGACCTCCATGGATTTCAGGGATGCATGAAGATTGATGGGTAGACCAGACAGGTGGGACTTCATGAATAGAAGTTGAAGGTTTGGATAAAGTCGAAGTAACTTTAATTGGTTGGGTGCATGATCCTTCATGGATATGTGGAATACATGAACTACCATGGTCAGATGGAGCGGGTGGTGCTTCGTGGACAGAGGAGGCGGAAGGCATGGGTGTAGTTGGTGGAGCAGAAGAGACCTCATGAACAGATTTGGTACATGAGTCTCCATGAATATGTGGAATACATGAACTGCTATAGGTAGATGAAATGGGTGAAATCTCAGGAACAGAAGAAGTGGAAGGTCCAGAGAAGGTTAAAAGGGTGGAAGTAACGGTAAGAATTGATGGGCTACATGAACCTCCATGGACAGATGATATACATGGACCATTATGAGTAGATGAAATGGGTATTTCGTGGGTGGTAGAAGCGGAAGGTACAGATGAAGTTGATTCGGCGGAAGAAATCTTATGTGTTGAAGACATGCTGTGCGTCGAAGGAACATCGTGTGTCGAAGGGATATCATGTGCTGAAGTGTGTGTGGTAGGGTGATTATTTGTCGAAGATACACTATGTGTGGAATCATGCGTCGAAGAGATACTGTGTATCGAAAGGGTACTGTGTGTGGAAGAGGCACTGTGCGTTTTCGAAGGAGTATCATGTGTAGAAAATATACTATGGGTGGAAATATGTTTCGAAGAGGCACTGTGTGTTGAAGATACGCCGTGTGTGGAAGCATGATTGTAAGGAACTTCGTGTGTTTTCCATGGGGCATCATGTGTGGAAGATACATTATACGTCGAAGCGGTACTGTACGTGGAATGGACATCATGCTCCGAAGAGGCAATGTGTGTAGAAGAAATACCATGCGTGGAAGCATAATTGGAAGGAACACTGTGCGTCGAGTGGATATCATGCTTGGAAGAGGCACTGTGTGTTGTCGAAGGGATACCATGTGTAGAAGAGACACTATGTGTGGAAGCATGTGTGGAAGAGGCACTGTACGTCGAATGAACATAATGCTCTGAGGAGGCACTGTGTGTTGGATGGACACCGTGCATCCAAGAAGTACTATGTGTGGAAGAGGCACTATGCGTCAAAGGGGTACTACCATGCATCCAAGAGGCACTGTCCGCGGAAGAATGTGTGGAGGATACGCTATCTGTGGAAGACACACTGTGTACTGTTGAATGAATACTATGTTCTGACATTACGCTATGTGTCATCGAAGAGATCACATCCGTTGAAGAGATACCATGTGTTGAAGAAGCATTATGTGCCAAGGAGGTGTATGGACCTCCATGAATGAATGGGACACATGGACCTCCATGACTAGCTATGCATGGACCTCTATGGGTCGATGAAGTGGGTGGAAATTCGTGAATAGGTGAGATTATTGGAGTGTGAGTAATTCTATCAGAAGAGCTGGATAAGGTTGAAGAAGCTTCACCCGGAGAGGTGGATGGTGTAGAAGAAATTCCAGCTCCATATCCTGAAAGACTAGATGCACTGATTGAACCAGAAGAGTGCACGGTGGTAGCTGCTGATCCTGAGAAGGATGATCCAGATGATGGAGCAGTTGAGGCAGAAACTGGGAAAGTATGTGTTTTTGAAGAACTTGCACCAATATAGTTTGAGCTGGATAGAGTTTCATCTGATTCGAAGGTATTACCATTAGTAGATGATGGGGTATCGGCTGAAGTTACCGGCACACTTTGATAACCTCGAGTTACAGATGATTGTTCAAGAACACTTGATGGGATATGGGTAGTATGGTGATTGAATGATTTTGTCGATGAAATATGGGTAGTCTGGTCGCTGTGTGATTGAACAACACTTGACGAAGCATCGGTAGTTTGGTGATAGACCGGTTGTTTTGTTGATGGTATATTCGTGGCTTGGTGACTGTGAGATTCAACAATATCTGATGCGCCGTTGGTGGTCTGGTGGCTGAAATATTGTGTCATTGATGGTGCATCAGAAGAGACTCTAAGTGTAGAAGAATCAGATAGAATAGACGAGCTTCCACTAGATAGGGTGGAAGATGCTCCAACCGCAGTTGTAGTATCAGTCCATTTAGATTTTGAAGATTCGACAGATGGAGTATAATAATTTGGAATCGATGAGAAGGTTGAGATATGAGGGGCTTTGGAGACCGAAGAGTCGGATGAGGTAGAAGAAATTCCAGCTGTCACTGTGCTATCAGTTTCTGTTGATTTTGCTGAAGCACTTGGAGATGATTCGGAAGTGACTGATCCATATTGGTAAGCTCCAGTAGATGCTGAAATACTTGGTGAAGAGGCAGTTTTGGATCTCTCTTTCTCAATTTCGCTTGTGGTCTTGCTGGATGACAAGGAGTATGTATAAGAAGCCCATCCATTTGTATCTGTAGATCCGACAATTTCAAGACTACTTTGACTAGATTCAGCAATTGAGGAAATGGTAGAAGATTTTGAGGTCTGCGTAGTGACATCATTTGATACAGAGCTGCCGGTTTCGGTAGGGCCATAATTAATAATACTCGACTTTGTAGTCGAAGAAAGTCCTGTAACAATATCAGATGAATGAGTGGAAGTTGGGATAGGGATTGAGGTCATCTTAGACGAAACTTCTGGTGTGCTAGAGATTTCTTTTGAAGAGACTCTTGGAACAGTGTAAGATGGCAAGTCCGAAGTTACAGAATGATAAATGGAAGTTTTAATAGGAACATGACTGGATGAATGAATTGAAGATTCCTCTGGTATCGATTTGGATGGCAAATACGAAGTTGATAAACTGCTATGAACAGTCGAAGTTAAGGCTGATGGATGAACCCATGGCTCACTGGAATGGACTGATAGTCCACTGGTATGAGCCGAAGTTGCACCATAATGAAGAAGCACCGGGCTTGATGGATGAACCGATGGTTCACTGGAATGGTGAGAAGTAGCTGTCTTTGATGGGTGAGCTGGCTGTTCACTGGAATGATGAGAAGCAGCCGTGCTTGAAGGATGAGCTGGCTGTCCACTAGAATGGACAGAAGCTATACTAGATTGTAAGGAGTTCGAGCTTGATGGGTGAGCCATAGGTATACTAGAATGAACCGAATGTATACCAGAATGAGCAGAAGTCATACTAGAATGAGCAGCAGTCATACTAGAATGGGAAGAGGCCGAGTTCCATGGATAAACCGATAACTCACTGGAATGAACCGATGGTTTACTAGAATGAGTCGATGGTCCAGTAGAATGAGTACCAGAGCTTAGGCTGGATGAATGCACCGAGGCTGAACTGGAAACAACCGAAGCTACATGAGAATGTGAAGCGTAAATTGATCTGGATGGATGTATCGAAGCCTCACTAGAATGAATAGTAGAGGCTTGATTAGATGAATGCTCAGAAGCCGTGCTAGAATATAGAACGGAAGTAAAGCCAGATTTATGCGCGGAAGATACACTGGAATGAAAAGAGGCCAAGCTGGATAAATGAGCCGAATTCATACTAGAATGAATAGCAGAGGATTTTTGAGATGAATGCGCAGAATCCGTATTAGAATGAAGAGAGTGAGTCGAGGTAGATTGATGCACCAGAGTTACACTGGAATGGACAACGGGAGTCGTACTATGCACAATATGAGATGAATGGCTCGAAGCAGGGCTGGTATGATGAGCCGAGGCCACATTAGATGGATGCACCGAATGAATAGTGGAACTGGAGGCCAAGTGGGATGAGTGGGGTGAGTGGGGAGCTGAGTGTTCGGAAGCTACACTGGTATGACTGGACTTTGCAACAGAACCTGCATGAGATGAGTGTTTTGAGGTTATACTGGCATGATTAGAAGTGGTAACAGAGTCCGTATGGGACGAGTGGATCGAAGCCACACCAGAATGGTGAGAGGTTGCAATGGATTCTGCATAGGACGAGTGACTCGAAGCCAAGGACGTGTGAACCGGAATTAAACCAGAGTGACTAGCAGTTGCGCCATGGCTCGCATCAGAGTGATGGATTAGAGTGGAGTGCTTGGAAACTAAGGATGTGTGGAACGAAGCGACGCCGGTATGGCTAGAAGTTGCAACAGATTCCGCATGAGATGAGTGAATCGAAGCCACTCCAGAATGACTGGGAGTCGAAGTATGGCTGGCATCAGAGTGATGGCTTGAAGTTAAGGTTGAGCGACTGGAACTCAAGGGTGTATGAATCGGAGCGACACTCGAATGACCAACAGTATGTTTACTAGTAATAGCATCCGAGTGATGACTTGAAGCCAAGTTGAAAATGTGACTCGAAAGTATACTCTTGTGAACAGGAGTAACACCGGAGTGACTAATGGAGTTCTTCTTAGTAGCAGCATCCGAGTGATGACTCGAAGACTTAGATGTCTGAGTCGGAGCTTTACTAGAATGACTACCAGAACTTATACTGTGGATTGTGTTGAAGTGATGACTTGAGGTTAAACTTGAATGACTCGAAGGCAAGGACGCGTGAACTGAGGCTTTACTGTAATGATCAGCAGAGCTTGAACTAGGGATCGCATGAAAATGATCACTGGAAGCCAATGACGTGTGAGTTGAAGCTGCACTGGAATGTATAACAGAACTTTTACTATGGATCGTATTAGAGTGATGAGCTGAAGTCAAGGCAGTGTGAACTGAATTCAAGGAAGTGTGGGCAGAAGCTTTGCTAGCATGACCAGCAGAACTTTTGCCATGGCCCGCATTAGAATGATGGGCTAGGGAAGTGTGAATAGAATCTTTACTAGAATGACTAGCGGAACTTATGATGGGAGCGGTCTTGGATGAGTGAATTGAAGCCAAGGAAGAGCGTATAGAAATAACGTCGGATGAGTGAGTCCATGGTAAGCTGGATGAATGACTTGACACGGTAGGTACATCGGAATGGTGAGTCGAGCTTGTAATATGGGAATCCTTCGATGAGTGACTAGAAGCTAAGGAGGAGTGAATCGAAGCTACACTGGGATGACCAGTAGAAGATTCAACAGGAGCGACATTCGATGGGTGAGTCGAGGGCTCGTGGTACGAGTGACTGGAAGCCAATGATGAATGAATCAATGGTAATTTGGATGAATAAGCAGTAGCTACACTAGAATGAGGAGTTGAAGTTTTGTCTGGAACATGATTGGAATGAGATGAAGGCAAGTGTGGGTGAATCAACGGTAAGCTGGGTGAATGGCTCGAGACAGCAGCTACACTGGAATGGGCGCTCGAACCTTTGGGGGTAATCTTCGAGGAGTGAGCCGGAACCAAGTTTGAGGAGTGAATCGGCGGAACTTTGGACGAATGACTTGAAACAGAAGCCACGCTGGAGTGTGCAGTCGAACTTATGACAGGGACAGTATTGAATGAGTGAGTCGATTCCGACTTTGATGAGTGAACTGGAGCAGAAATCACACTCGAATGGAAAGCAGATGTTTCAACGGAGCTTGCATGGGACCAATGAATTGAATCTGAGCCAGGCGTATGAGTTGTATGTAGGTTGGATGAGTGGGTCGAAACTGAGTCGCTTGCGGTGATTGATGGAATAACAGCCGACGAATGGTAATTGGATGGGTTTTCGAAGTGGGCATTGGCAGTGGAAGCAAGTCCAGCAGCCGCGATGAGGGCATTGCGTTTGCAACGCATCTTGCTTGATGCTTGTGATTAGGAGAGAGTAGTTCAGACGACTTTCGAATCTTTCAAGGTCTGGATTGTAAGGAAGTAGAAAAGAAAGATTGAAATTAAGAGAGATATACTTATATGAGAAAGAATTCCACTGGTGATCAAATTTGATTTACTAGTGTCTTTGCAAGCAACCATTTTCTTGATTTCCTCAGACTAGGACACAATATACGTCAATTATAAGATACCAAGAAGAAATTTGAGGGACTAATATGTGGTTTGGTCAATTGACCCTCGGGTGGATCTAGACATCAAGGTTGTTATTCCTATACGTGAGGAAACAAAAGTTCAAAAGTATAGCAACCCCTTCGAAACCATATTCCCAATAGTCTATAGTGTCACCTGATTCCGTATCACAACATCAGTATTCTAAGGATACTCTTATCAGTTATGGTTTCAAACATGTTCAACAATTGTAAGAGGTCCGATATCTGACATGACTTCAATGTCTAAGATGATTTCAATATTTGGATGACTTTATTAACAACTGAAATAGTTTCAATCATCAAAAGCGTTGAATCTTCCAAAGCTTTTGACTGTTGAACTGTAGTTCGCACTACCGAACACCCTCCTTCAACTTGTATCAATGATCTGGGTGATTGAATACAAACCCATATTTCTAGAAAGCAGAAGAGAGGAAAGAATCGGGAACTGCATTGAGGTTTGAGGAAATAGATAGTGTCATAGCATTCACACTATAGCTCAAAGAATAGATACTTAGTGATGATGAAATCCTAGCCATTGGTATATTTTAGAGTTGAACGTACGGAAAGGAAAGTCTTGGTGGTGTACCAAGACTGTATAATGATTCATAGTAAATATTGCAGGATGTAATAGAAAGGAAGAGAAATTGATCAATGGAAGGACCCGACTGTGTTTACTATTTAATTCTCTTCGTTCACCAGTTGTCTAGACTCCAAAATATCGCTCAAGTTGATATTGTGGGGTTTTAGATATCAAGAAAGGGTAAACTATGTACCAGTCTCAAAATGAAAACCGTTAGAAAATAAACCTTGTTCGAGTACCGACGTCTACTTGGTACCTGAAACTTTGTTTGGATTGGTAGTAAAATATTTGATAGTAGTATGCCATTGGTCCATTTAATCAACAGGTCAGAACTAAAGTCTTGGATCAATATCATATCATGAATGAATATATATATCCTACTTACTAGTGAGTCGCTGATCTATCCATCAAACCAAGCTATGACGAACCATCTCGTCATGATCAACATCCAAAATACCTCTTCTCGATCCACCTCTCCTCGTAGTCCTGAATTATCGTGCATACCACAACTTTAACCTCAGGGAAGACCTTTGTAAGTCGGTTTAACCCCATTTTCCCTGCAGTGTAAGTCACAAATACAATCTTCTCGGGTGGTACTCCATGATCGACAAGAATTTGGACCGACATAAGTGCAGCTCCCCCACTTGACATTTGTGGATCAAGCAACAAAACACTGTCATGTTTGTTGATATTGTCCGGTAAATTTAAGAAATGTAATTCTGGTTCACCCGTTCGGATATTCGATTGAATCAGTAGCCTTCCAGTCTTGCAATCCGGGATGACCCGCTTTAAGCCAGTTTCCAGAGCACCTCCGGCTCGAAGGACAACAACTGCACTAACTTCGCCCGTAGCTATCAAACCTTGGTACTTGTTACCGATTGGTGTCTCAACAGTTTTTTCTGTAAAGAATATATTGTTCATAGCACTGCAATCTGTTAGAAATGATACCAAAAAAATCAACATCATGAAACAATACAATGATAACATACTGTTCAACGAGTAAAGTAGCAATCCGGTCAAAGTAGAAAACGAATTCTTCTGCTGGAGTTCCTACATCTTGGATGATGGTATTCATCCCCTTGAATTGAGGTGTTTGCTCCAAAAGAAGGACTGATTTAGATAGAGGCTCATCCTCAGCACCCAGACCCAATTTCTTTAGAGCCATAATGTGTGCTATTGATTTTTCCTTTAATGTTCGTTGGATGTATTGTACAACCATATCTATCGGAAATTAATACAGTGCAGCATTCATGCAGTGAAAGTGGAACTTACTGATAGCAACTCGATTTTCTACACCTCGTGGCACAATGATATCTGTTCAAAAGATTAGGCATCTGTCGTGAAACATGATGAAGCCGCACATCAAAGTTGAAGCTCATCTTGTGGTACATTATGTCAGATCTTACCGGCAATTTCACCCTGAGGCTCTACATATCGTTGAAAGTTTGGCTTCACAAACCCAAACCATTGCTTTATAACACCTTGAATATCTCTACCTCTTTCTGCGACATCTCTAAGGACTAGAAAATCGATCAGTTGAGTCGTAATTAAGCAATTAGATCTTATCATGTAGCTTCTTGAAATGCATTTTTGATATGGAGGAGGATTCATACTTCGCCGGGATAAACAGGTATCTCCATCTGCTTGACAGAATACCTAAGACAAATTAGTCCTCATTAAATTTGACCCCTTCTCTGAACTGAAGGAGAAAATCACCTTCATATCTAGCAATTCAAGGACTCGAGGATCGTATAATGCAAAAATGCCCTCCAATATGAGTACATGTGGTGAATAAATTGATGTAGTCTCCTTCTCTCGAGCATGCTTTGAGAACGAATAGATCGGAATCTCTGCTCTCTTTCTAAACAACAAAATTAATTATATGATAATGTATACAGTAGAAAGTATACAAATAATTCGCTCCTCTCCGAATCTAGCAGCTTAGATAACACTTACCCTGCTTTCAGATCTTGCAATATTTCGACTAGTCTGTCGAAATCTATTGCATCCGGTGAATCAAAGTCATATTCGTTCAAAAATGCTTTTCGTGATCCTTCCGCGTCTAAAGACTTATAAAACGAATCCTTTTTTTTTTCATAATCATTAATGGGTCGATTGATATGGGAATGAGGAAAAACTGAATTACCATGCTGAGAATGCAAACCCATGGCAAGTTCATTTGAGAGATAATGGCATGAGACAAAGTAGATTTTCCTGATCCAGAACTTCCCGCTATACCTATGATACTGACACCAGCCCATGGAGGAGAGTAGTGAGCTTGTTCTTTCACACATAAAGCCATTGTGAAAGTTGGAAAAAGTTGCTGATTATGGTATGGAGTTTTGAGTATCTGGAGACTTCAGCAATCCATGTTAATAAGGAAAAATAATAGGAGATTAAGTGAGCAATTTGAGTACAGCAGCACAATATATACAGAAGCAATTCTACCTATGTACCCGTGGACACTTTGAATCATTACGGTTTTTGCGCAGGGAGGGGTTGCGGTCGTCTTTTTTATAGATCACGTGCTCTATTACGTAAGAGGATCCGAGACTTAGCCCATAAAGGTTTAGACTCTGAAGCAAGCTTCTACTTCTACTTGAAATCTCAAATCAAAGCTTTCCTTTCCTTTCCATTCTTCCAATAACTTCATTTTTTTTTACCAACCATCATATTTTCTTTATTCACACCAATAACAACTTATAATAATTGTATCAGTGCTGGACACTTCAAGACCACTTACAATTGTTTTCTACCTCTTTATGGACAGCAGATAATTTTTTATGTTGTAAGAATGGTACGTAAACAAGTACTCTTGATAGCTTTGTGGATATCAGCCAGTAGCTGACTTGGTTCCAATTATAGGCCTCTTCAACAGCTACCGCAACACCCTCAAGACTTAACACATTTGAGAATTCGCTTTCACATACTGCATTCGAAAAGCGTGTCGACAATGTAAAACCAATGAAGAGGTAGGCAATAATTTTTTCTTCATAATTCGTTGCTTCATTGAAGCTCCATCACTGGCAAACTTTATATGATGACTATCATCAACTGGGAATCTCTCCTAAAAATTACGCATGCGGAGAACAAATTAGTTGTTAACTGATATACTGCCACTCTTTACCAATTTGGCTGTCGCCCAGCCTGATATAAATTGATGATATGCACCCAAGCTAACATTTATATTCATTAATAGTGACATCAATGCTTTGATATTAGATTATCTTACAACCGAAGGTTATCCATCTGCAGCTGCAAGGTTCTCTAAAGAGGCGAATCTTAAGCCACAACAAGCAGAAGAGTTTGTCAAAGCTCGTCAAGCTATTCAGCATTTCATACATCTGGGAAGCATACAAGATGCTATCGATTCAGTAAATGAGTTGGATCCTCAGGTTAGTGCTATCCACATTTTCCTTCATCATTTCCTTGCTATGATTAAACAAGTTCATGCACCACTCATATAGCCTTCGGGTCGTTGATGAGATACAATACCATACTTCAGTCCTCAGTATGAGCAACTTTTCACCCACCCATCGTTCTTCATCACATGCTTATTGGATGTTATCTAACATTACCCAAAGGTGCTCGAAAATAATCCAGCTCTCCATTTTTCACTCTTGCGACTACAACTGGTTGAGCTCATACGGACTTCGGGTAGTGATGTCGCTCCTGTCATAAACTTTGCTAGAAATCAACTTGCACCTCGAGCTGCAACCAATCCAGACTTTTTAGAAGACCTTGAAAGGACAATGGCTCTACTAGTCTTTCAGCCAGATAACCTGGAGCCAAAACTAGCTACATTGATACACCCTGACCTTCGAAGGTCCGTCGCAGATAAAGTTAACAAAGCTATACTACAATCTCAGAATAAACGTCGAGATGCGGCCATTAGAGATCTTGTCCGTCTACGTGCCTGGGCTGAGAACACAGCACGGGATGCGAAAAAGGAAATACCGCCTCTGATCGAGCTGGGTCTCGATAATGATAACCATGATCGTGATAATATACATGGCGATGGATCCCATGCACAACAAACAATGAATGACGCAATGATGATGACATGAGCGGGGCATTGAATTGGTTATATTTGGCGTTTGGGTTCATGCCAACATTATTATACCCTTTTTCGAAGTTGTTTCAGGTAGAACTTCTTCACAAACATCATAGGAAGGAAT